ACCCTAAAGGAGCCACCAGTTGCCACTGAGGGGGTGATTTTTTTATGTTAAACAGGCTTCTAACACACGGTAAATTTACAAAACACCTTTCTATCAAGGACACATGAATGGTGTTTTTAAGAAGCTGCTCTGAGGAATGATAGACGCGTCCTTGCTGTGAAGTGGAGATAACATGTTACGCAGGTGTTAGCAAATTAGTCATAGTTCAGTGTACTGTGTATTGTTATAAATGTTTTAAAATAGTTAATTGTATAACTAATTTTCAAATGTAATAGTTTAATAGTAATGTAATAGTAATAATTTAATAGTACTGTAATAGTAATGTAATAGTAGCACTAGTACTGTAATAGTAATGTAATAGTAGCACTAGTACTGTAATAGTAATGTAATAGTAGCTCTAGTACTGTAATAGTAATGTAATAGTTTAATAGTAATGTAATAGTAGTACAGATGGTCTTCTATATCGGTATTCTTGGAAGTTATGATTTGTACAACACAGTTTAGCTTTGCAATAAACCTCCTCCTCGCTTATAACACAGAACATTGACTAAGCTTCTAAGTGTATGCTTGTTGTCCAAGTGTAATGATGGCTCTAGTGATAAGCTCCACCCCTCTTGAGATATGTACCACGGTATTTTGTTTGTACACTTAATATCATTACAGTGTTAGCTAGTTCATCATTAACTTGGTAATTATATATACCGAGTCAATGATGAACTAGCTACTACTTGCACTGTAATATATAATATATCCTATTCATTGGAGTATTAAGTAATACAGTTCATTAGTAATACGTCCTAGTACACTGCAATTATTGACTGTGTAGATTTCAACTGTAATTAGACACAATACAAGACGTAGTATTGTAGTATATTATATTATAGAGCAATGTGTAATGAGAACTCAGTTCTCGTTCCTATGTTGTGTTTTCTGTGACGTCACCTAGCAATGACAAATGACTATGGTAAGATTCCTCAACAGCAAGTAATTACTGTATTGTTAATTGAGTCTGTTATCTTTTCAGGTATATGACAGAGTTGACACACACTCTGATGATACCTCTGGAACAGTACATTAGCAGTTTGATGCCCTTACAGAAACAACTCAACCCCTTCAGACAGCCTCCCTTACTGCAGCAGTTCCAACAGGAAGCTTTTATTAACTCCCTCAACGACTCAAACTTCAAGGTATGGTATAACTATGAACTGTATATTATAACTAACTAGAAACCCGCTAGTCGAAAGCTTTGTTCGAGGAAATTTTAAAAATCAGTTATGTTTTAATTTCTCTTCATCATATAGCTCTGTTATACTGTAGACATAATGGATTTATCTAACAATGGCGACAGCGTTGTTAGTATTCGGATTCCCAAAACGATACTTTTTACCGCATCAAAGAATACCAATCACAACCAAAGTTATGAATATAAGTCATAGCGTGAGCGTAAATGTGAGCTAGTTTTGAAATTATGACGTAGCATACAGCATAACAACGCGCGTAGTTAAGATGTTTCTGCTCGCGCACGTTGCATTTTCACGTGCTACGCAACCAGCGCAGTTTAAACCTTTGCTTAAATAACGACCCTTATTTTTCTTACCGGTTTTTTTATTTTACTCACTTCGGACGCTAATTAAATAAAAAACTAAAGCCCCTCTCCTAAAATCCAAAAAAAATTTGTCCTAAGTAAGCTTATAGCTTATTCCTAATCTTTTTCTACAACCCTCGCTCTAATTAAAAAATGGCGAGGTTTTTCAACTCCCCATTTGCGAGAGTGGTTTTGAATTTCACAGAGGGTCATTTTGAGGGTCGATATTTTCGGTTTTGTTTTTTCTTCCTATGTCCCCGTTTGGCCGGGGAAAAAAGGGGGAAATTTCGTCAAGTTTTTAAATATAATATATAGAGATAACAATATTTTAAATTGTGGGTTTTTAACTCCCCTATACGGTTGACACACACGGAATCGTAGTAATAGTGGGAAAAAGGAGAAAAAAAAAAAAGAAAAAAAAAACTTTTTCTTTTTTAACGAGTTTTGTTTGTTTTTTTTTTTTTTAACGATGTGGTCAAATAAAAAAAACATTATAATTTACAAAACCCAATTGTGGTGTTAAAGTAGTAAAACAACAGTTTGTGAGGGAAAGGAATTTCTATAATCCTAGACCGATCCTATTGTTGAATAAAAAAAATATCATTGGTGATCCAACAATTGGGTGTGATAAGATGCCTACTCCTTTCCACATGACCAAGCACTACTCTGTATAGGTGTAATGTACCTCATTGCTTGTTTTCAATGGCTATTACAGAGTGCCCCTAAAATGGCGCGGCAAAGGAGTTCCTCTTGCTAAAAAGTTGCTCTGCACATTTACCGAGAGTAGTATCAGTTTCACTGGAGCTAGCTGAGGCAAATAAATTACCTGCCTGTAGATGTAGGCCTCTACATTCTAAGAACCTCTCATGACACCTGGTTTAAAGTTAGATTTCTGGAACATTCTACCATGTTCGGTGTCTGGCCTACAAATAGAAGTTCTCGGTTCAGCCAAGGTAATCTTTGTATTCTACAGAGCGCAGAGCTGAAAGGACTGCCGAGGGAGTTGGAAAGGAGCTGTACAGGAAAGTATATAAAATCTCCCAACTTTGAGCTGTGGTTTCAGAGCAAACGAACTGAGGCTAACCAGAGGTCAGTGCGAATACTTTTGTATTAAGTTTATATTAAGTTTTATAAGTTTATATTATTAAGTTTTATATTAGTTTTGTTGGACTGAGATTTTGTGTTTGTAAATTACATTTTGTGTTGATATTGGGTGGTTCAGCAACCATCACAGTGTGCCCGAACTTACTCTGAAAACAATCTTTAAGACAGAAACAAATTAAGACTGTTGAATCTTATTAATTTAAAAACTAATAATTGTTATACCGTTAAAATGTTACATCAGTGAACTTACAAACAAAGGTTTTTAATCTAAAGTGACTTCAAAATCTCTGCTTAAACAATAGTAGTCACCACTATTAATGTTATGTGTGCAGTTTAGGTACACATTAAGAGAGAAGTCAGGATTGAGGTGAGCTTTGAAGTACAGTTTCTTGAGTTGGGGGTGTAGTCTAACACATGTTAAACCTTCTCTCAGGATCCTGTCATTTATCACTTGGTGGTTTTTGTCAGATGTTGGAATGTGAGCATAGTACTCTTTAGATTCATTATAGACGGCTAAATCTTGCAGGCCCAAAGAAGTTTGAATCTTCACGATCATGTTCTCATTTGTTTTGACTGAATTTCCAATTGCTTTCTTTCTGTGTCTATAACTTCACTCGTGAGGTAACTAATACTCAAATATTGGTATTAATTGCACAGTCCTTTTCGTAGATGGGATATACCTTCAAAACGCTGCAACTTTTCTTATGGTTACCCCCAATCACGCTTCTGACAGACAGCGCTGCAATATCTCACTGATTTACAGGTTCCACAGTATTACCACAAGCTTGACATCTTTTTAAATCTGATCCTTTTTGACCACAGGAACTGCATTCACTTCGAGCCAAATCTGTCATAATTTACCGCTGCGAAAATGTAACTGGTTATAACAAAAATTATGTCTGAAATTAAACCTGACAATATTAAGTCGAAGTTCTTATGTGAACAACGGATTACAAATTAATTGAAATTGATTTAATCTAGCGTCTCGGGGGATGCAACGTCAATTAATGTCAGTATTCCATAAAAAACCCCAAACTGACATTGACATTAATTGACATTAATTGACATTAATTGACATTAATTGACATTAATTGACATTAATTGACATTAATTGACATTAATTTGTCTTGAAATTTGAGATTATCATTATTCGATAAATATTCAAGATATTCACGTCTATGTAAGTTAGACCGGTTCAAAAAAAACAATGTCCTTGAATAATTATGAGTATGTTCTTATCTGTTGATCCTTAGGTTCAAAGACCACCAAACAAAAAAAATTTCAGATTCAAACTCTTCCATCTTCCGGTCCCCCACCGCGACCGGCCCACACCCATATTTTATTGGTTCTACTTCTACATGGTCGTACGGTAAAATATCTAGGAATCGCTGCTTTTTTTTCCCCTAGTATGAAGGAGTAATGCTAGCTGATTTAAAGATTACGTTATTCAAATATAAATGTCAATGAAGGCTATTCGTTTAATGTGGGTTTTTAAGTTCTGATGATGTTCGAGAACCACGCCCCTTGGCTGCCACGCCCATTTAAGAAAGAAAAACTTCCGGAAAACCGTATTCTTTTTAGTTTTATTGTTTAATGATGCTGGCAATATGTTTCACCATTTTCATCATTTTTCCAAATGTGACTATAAGTAGTTAGTAGATGAATAAATTGATGATATATTAACGTTCTTAAAGTGCTTAAAAAATAAAAAAAAATCTGGTTTAGAACTACATAATCTGTGGTTCTCGAAAAAAATTTCTGTCAATTTAATGTCAGTATTCCAAAATTTTGCAAAACTGACATCGGACATTTAATATTTGACATTAATATGACATCATTAATTGACATTATTTAAATTGAACCCATTTAATTGACATTTATAATTGGACGTTGCATCCCCCCCCCCCCCCCCCACCCCCCCCCCCCCCCCCCCCCCCCCCCCCCCCCCCCCCCCCCCCCCCCCCCCCCCCCCCCCCCCCCCCCCCCCCCCCACCCCCCCCCACCCCCCCCCCCCCCCCCCCCCCCACCCCCCCCCCCCCCCCCCCCCCCCACCCCCCACCCCCCCCCCCCCCCCCCCCCCCCCCCCCCCCCCCCCCCCCCCCCCCCCCCCCCCCCCCCCCCCCCCCCGCCCCCCCCCCCCCCTCCCCCCCCCCCCCCCCCCCCCCCCCCCCCCCCCCCCCCCCCCCCCACACCCCCCCCCCCCCCCCCCCACCCCCCCCCCCCCCCCCCCCCCCCCCCCCCCCCCCCCCCCCCCCCCCCCCCCCCCCCCCACCCCCCCCCCCCCCCCCCCCCCCCCCCCCCCCCCCCCCCCCCCCCCCCCCCCCCCCCCCCCCCCCCCCCCCCCCCCCCCCCCCCCCCCCCCCCCCCCCCACCCCCCCCCCCCCCCCCCCCCCCCCCCCCCCCCCCCCCCCCCCCCCCCCCCCCCCCCCCCCCCCCCCCCCCCCCCCCCCCCCCCCCCCCCCACCCCCCCCCCCCCCCCCCCCCCCCCCCCCCCCCCCCCCCCCCCCCCCCCCCCCCCCCCCACCCCCCCCCCCCCCCCCCCCCCCCCCCCCCCCCCCCCCCCCCCCACCCCCCCCCCCCCCCCCCCCCCCCCCCCCCCCCCCCCCCCCCCCCCCCCCCCCCCCCCCCCCCCCCCCCCCCCCCCCCCCACCCCCCCCCCCCCCCCCCCCACCCCCCCCCCCCCCCCCCCCCCCCCCCCCCCCACCCCCCCCCCCCCCCCCCCCCACCCCCCCCCCCCCCCCCCCCCCCCCCCCCCCCCCCCCCCCCCCCCCCCCCCCCCCCCCCCCCCCCCCCCCCCCCCCCCCCCCCCCCCCCCCCCCACCCCCCCCCCCCCCCCCCCCCCCCCCCCCCCCCCCCCCCCCCCCCCCCCCCCCCCCCCCCCCCCCCCCCCCCCCCCCCCCCCCCACCACCCCCCCCCACCCCCCCCCCCCCCCCCCCCCCCCCCCCCCCCCCCCCCCCCCCCCCCCCCCCCCCCCCCCCACCCCCCCCCCCCCCCCCCCCCCCCCCCCCCCCCCCCCCCCCCCCCCCCCCCCCCCCCCCCCCCCCCCCCCCCCCCCCCACCCCCCCCCCCCCCCCCCCCCCCCCCCCCCCCCCCCCCCCCCCCCCCTCCCCCCCCCCCCCCACCCCCCCCCCCCCCCCCCCACCCCCCCCCCCCCCCCCCCCCCCCCCCCCCCCCCCCCCCCCCCCCCCCCCCCCCCCCCCCCCCCCCCCCCCCCCCCCACCCCCCCCCCCCCCCCCCCCCCCCCCCCCCCCCCCCCCCCCCCCCCCCCCCCACCCCCCCCCCCCCCCCCCCCCCCCCCCCCCCACCCCCCCCCCCACCCCCCCCCCCCCCCCCCCCCCCCCCCCCCCCCCCCCCCCCCCCCCCCCCCCCCCCCCCCCCCCCCCCCCCCCCCACCCCCCCCCCCCCACCCCCCCCCCCCCCCCCCCCCCCCCCCCCCCCCCCCCCCCCCCCCCCACCCCCCCCCCCCCCCCCCCCCCCCCCCCCCCACCCCCCCCCCCCCCCCCCCCCCCCCCCCCCCCCCCCCCCCCCCCCCCCCCCCCCCCCCCCCCCCCCCCCCCCCCCCCCCCCCCCCCCCCCCCCCCCACCCCCCCCCCCCCCCCCACCCCCCCCCCCCCCCCCCCCCACCCCCCCCCCCCCCCCCCCCCCCCCCCCCCCCCCCCCCCCCCCCCCCCCCCCCCCCCCCCCCCCCCCCCACCCCCCCCCCCCCCCCCCCCCCCCCCCCCCCCCCCCCCCCCCCCCCACCCCCCCCCCCCCCCCCCCCCCCCCCCCCCCCCCCCCCCCCCCACCCCCCCCCCCCCCCCCCCCCCCCCCCCCCCCCCCCCCCCCCCCCCCCCCCCCCCCCCCCCCCCCACCCCCCCCCCCCCCCCCCCCCCCCCCCCCCCCCCCCCCCCCCCCCCCCCCCCCCCCCCCCCCCCCCCCCCCCCCCCCCCCCCCCCCCCCCACCCCCCCCCCCCCCCCCCCCCCCCCCCCCCCCCCCCCCCCCCCCCCCCCCCCCCCACCCCCCCCCCCCCCCCCCCCCCCCCCCCCCCCCCTCCCCCCCCCCCCCCCCCCCCCCCCCCCCCCCCCCCCCCCCCCCCCACCCCCCCCCCCCCCCCCCCCCCCCCCCCCCCCCCCCCCCCCCCCCCCACCCCCCCCCCCCCCCCCCCCCCCCCCCCCCCCCCCCCCCCCCCCCCCCCCCCCCCCCACCCCCCCCCCCCCCCCCCCCCCCCCCCCCCCCCCCCCACCCCCCCCCCCCCCCCCCCCCCCCCCCCCCCCCCCCCCCCCCCCCCCCCCCCCCCCCCCCCCCCACCCCCCCCCCCCCCCCCCCCCCCCCCCCACCCCCCCCCCCCCCCAACCCCCCCCCCCCCCCCTCCCCCCCCCCCCCCCCCCCCCCCCCCCCCCCCCCCCCCCCCCCCCCCCCCCCCCCCCCCCAGCCCCCCCCCCCCCCCCACCCCCCCCCCCCCCCCCACCCCCCCCCCCCCCCCCCCCCCCCCCCCCCCCCCCCCCCCCCCCCCCCCCCCCCCCCCCCCCCCCCCCCCCCCCCCCCCCCCACCCCCCCCCCCCCCCCCCCCCCCCCCCCCCCCCCCCCCCCCCCCCCCCCCCCCCCCCCCCCCCCCCCCCCCCCCCCCCCCCCCCCCCCCCCCCCCCCCCCCACCCCCCCCCCCCCCCCCCCCCCCCCCCCCCCCCCCCCCCCCCCCCCCCCCCCCCCCCCCCCCCCCCCCCCCCCCCCCCCCCCCCCCCCCCCCCCCCCCCCCCCCCCCCCCCCCCCCCCCCCCCCCCCCCCCCCCCCCCCCCCCCCCCCCCCCCCCCCCCCCCCCCCCCCCCCCCCCCC